AGGCTGAACAACCCCAGCTCTCTCAGCCTGTCTTCATAGGAAAGGTGCTTCAGCCCTCTCATCATCTTCGTAGCCTCAACTGGACTCGCTCCAACAGGTCCATGTCCTTGTTGTGCTGAGGACCCCAGAGCTGAAGGCAGTACTGCAGGGGGGTCTCACCAGAGCAGAGCAGAGGGGCAGAATCCCCTCCCTCGACCTGCTGGTCACGCTGCTTTGGATGCAGCCCTGGATACGGTTGGCTTTCTGGGCTATGAGTGCATATTGCTGGGTCATGTCCGATATCTCATCCACCAGTATGCTCAAGTCGTCCTCCACAGGGCTGCTGTCAACCCATTCATCCCCCTCCATCTTGGGGATTGCCCCTGCCCAGGTGCAGGACCTTGCACTTGGCCTTGTTGAACTTCATGAGGTTTGCAGAGGCCAGCCTGTCCAGGTCCCTCTGGATGGCATCCCTTCCCTCCCATGTGTCAACCACACCACATGGCTTGGTGTCATCAGCAAACCTGCTGAGAGTGCACCCCATCCCACTGTCCATGTCACTGACAAAGATGTTAAACAGCGCCAGTCCCAATCCTGACCTCTGAGGAGTGCCGCTTGTCACTGGTCTTCACTTGGACATCAAGCCATTGACTACAACCCTTTGAGTGCAACCATCCAACCAGTTCCTTATCCACTGAGTGGTCCATCTATCAAATCCATCTCTCCAATTTAGAGACAAGGATGTCGTGCGGGACAGTATCAAATGCTTTGCACAGGTCCAGGTAGATGACATCAGTTACTCTTCCCTTATTCACCAATGCTGTAACCCCGCAATAGAAGACCACCAAATCGTATCGTAATGGAGAGGCTTTCCATACACAATTCAGAGGACCTTATATTAACTATTTAAAAGTTAAACTGAGGGGTAAGACCTGCTTTTCTTTGTGAAAATAAAGTTGTGTATCTAGAGAAAAATCATTATGCCGTGTGGAGTTCCTCACTTGAACAGGGCATTCTGAAATGGAAGTGTAGATCGTAAAAGTAGCAACAGTGCCAGGGAAGTTGAACAAACAAATGACTGGGAGCTGGAAGAAATCATTAATGTCCAGGAAATAAGTGGCTGACAGATAAGAAGCTGATAAAAGTTCAGTTGCTGAGCACAAATGAAGGTTTTATCTTATTGATTGGTATCATGGGAAATCTAATTATTTGGCACCTGGATGAGGTAGCAGGTAAGAAATAAATGTATGCTGTGTGTTTTCAAAAAGAGTTAATCTTAGGCAAAGAGCATTACTCTTTTGGACAGAATATGACGACTTTCTGGACAAGTACATGAGTATAGACCGTGAGCAGACTTTCCTTTCAGTTCGGCACAAAGACTGTGAGCCTTGTTCCTGGTGGCATGCAGGGTACTGTCATCCTTAAACCCAGTTTAAGGATGTGATTTGTCTGTGAAGCTTTTTATTTTAAGTAACTGCAAGGGAGTTAACTGGATATTTTAAGAGATTTTTTTCTGCTTGAGCTTTACTGTTTAAATACTAGAAGCAAGTCTGTTCATAATGACTGTAATGCATCATATATTTGGGGTTTATAATTCCCTTGGTATTTAATTGTGCTGATGTCTTCCATTATATTGTGCTAGTCTTTCTGAAGCGAAAGGTAAAAGGCAAATCTCAGCAACGTATTAATTTCCTAATACGTGGCATACTGTGGAGGAAGCCTCTCTAGTGGTTAAAGCTTGGCCCATTAGTTAAAACACAAGTTAAAACCAAAGTAGACCTTCTGGATTGCTTAATGTGATGTTCTCTAACAAAGGATGTGACTCAAAAGCCTGCCCTGGGACTGTCAGTAGAAGCATGAGTGCTCAGTAGCTTTGTTCATGTTGGCTGATTGTTTGTTGGGTGAGTCATTAGGGTAATTTTTGTTGTCACATCTGAGTCCTCATCAAGTTGAATTTGAGTGTTACCAAGCTAGTTTATTTTCCTTGTTGGTGGAGTGCAGTTTCTTTCAGGATGCTTTCTTGTCTGAAGTGTTTTGAACAGTGTGACTTACTACTTTGGAAGAATTCTGAATATTTCAATGTTTTAGATCAGAAAACAGAATGCTTTCTTGAAATGTTATGTTAACAGATACAACAAATCTTCCAGGCTATATCAGTATGAGAGGAAAAATTATTGCCACCATGTACTTAAATGTTGGGATTATACTTGTAGCGTAAAATTGAGTTTTGGTGAATCTCATCTCAAATGTACGTTTGAATGTGTGTGTCTTACCATTACTGCTTTCTAGGTTTGGAGCCTGTCTGCTGGTGTTAAGTGGCTGAATCTTTTATAAAGGGTTGTGCTTGAAAGAATGCAAAAATATTATCCTCTGTGTTTTCCACTACTGAATGTTGCTTGAGGCTAGTGTTGAAATTTCTTCCTGTTCAAATGAAAGCTTATGTATTTGTAGGCAGCCAATATAATACCTAAATTCCATTTCAACCTTGAAAATAAACTTATCGGTAAATTCCACTGCTTTGTTTTCTTGGTGGTCTTGTTAAGTAAGTGTTAGATAAAATTAATGTTGGCACCAGTATTTGCACTGCAGTCGGCAGTCTGATACATTTCTGCTGCAGATAATTCTGCTGAAAATTACTCCATTTTCTTAGCTTTGGTTTGCTTTTATGTGGGCTTATGCATCTTGTACTGTATTGTGGTTAAGTCATTTACAGTCATATAAAAATAACTTCTTGATATTAACGTATTGTTTTTCATTGTATTTTTAATGCCTTATGCTGGCACACACATTTTCCTTAACTTGCCTGTCAGTCACGTCTATAACTACTGTACTAGCGTACACCAGTCTAATCAAGCACGGGGAGCTGGAGTACCTCCTTCTAAATCGAAAAAGGGCCAGACGCCTGGAGGTGCTCAGTTTGTTGGCTTGGAATTGTACAAACGGCTAAAAGAATTTCTGAAGAACTACTTGACAAATCTCCTTAAGGTAAGATGGGACATTAGGGCAATTTGCGTTTGTAGTCATAATATGGGCTGGGTTGAGAAAGGCTTGTATCGACAAACCTAGAGGTGTATGCGGCCGCTGGAGGTAAATTGAATGATCTTGAAATTTGCTTTTGTCTCCATTAGCTACGAGAATGTTTTGTAGGCTTTACCTCGGGCATAGATCGGTTGCTAAGTGTACCTGTGAGCTGCTTTTTCTCTTCAAGCCAGAACAGTGTTTGTGTGTTTCATAGCAGTAACGTTAAATGCCTTCTTAAGCTGTCCTGTATCTTGAACAAGAATAGCTAGACTTTCTAATCAATTAACCAGCACATTAGTAATGCTGAAAAAAATGGTTGCCTGTAATGTTGAAAATGCCTGATGGTAGCCGTTAATTTAATTTAATAAATAAACTGCTAATAGAGCTGGATGTTGGGCTGCTTTGTAAGAGAATGGTTCCTGGTTATTTTTGGAAAGGAATCAGACTTTTAACTTTTGGGATTGTAGTTTTGAGCAATAAATGAAAGATTTCTTGGTGTCCTAGCGAGTGTACTGTGTAATTAATTTATGAAACTGCTTAAAGGTGTCTGAAGTCTTATCCAGAATACACTCCTGGTTTTATTCCCCTGTCCAGTCAGGCTGTAGTGGTCCAGTTTGGAAAGATACTTGAACATCCACATGTTACAACTTTATCTTCTTTTGTTCTGTAACAAGAATAAGTATGATGCCTTACCCATTTCCAAGAATACAGGGTTCTAGAGAAGACCCCATCCACGCTCACTTGTTTCGGCTCCTGAAGCAGCCGCAGTGGGAGTGGGGGGTATATTTTATGGACGTTGTCAAGTTGAATGCATTATCATTGCATATTTTACCTTATGCACTCATCAGTGTCATCATCTGTTCCTAACATGATGCCCTCTTGCTTTCTCCCACAGGAGGGACGGGAATGTCTCCTCCAGCTTCATCTATGCTGTGCGTTTTTTTACCAGTGTTTTAATTTCTAAATCTCTTGCTGACCTTGTGCTTTCTTAATGTAGAATAAATGTATTAGCACTGTGTTTCCTATAAAGACATTGCGTGGTGTAGGTTCATTACAGAGTCAATTTGTACACCCTTATGTATCTTGGTTGTACCTTGAAATTGCCTAACAGTACTGGCAAACTGTTCTTATTTCAGGATGGTGAAGATTTGATGGATGAGAGTGTGCTGAAATTCTACACTCAACAGTGGGAAGATTATAGGTTTTCCAGCAAAGTATTGAATGGGATATGTGCCTACCTCAATCGACATTGGGTTCGTCGTGAGTGCGATGAAGGTCGTAAGGGAATATATGAAATTTATTCAGTAAGTAGCTTTTTGGAATGGTTTATCCATTCCATCTGTCATGTTTGCATTATCATCCTGCAGATTGCTCCTTGAAACTTGGAGGAAGTTCATAGAAGTTTTGAAGACGTGGGCAAGGCGGAAATCTCCCCCCTTTCCATACTCCCACCCCAGTATATTTGTAAGAATTCCATGGGTCTAAACCTGTGAGATGTTCAATCTGCCTTGTACGTATTGGGCCTACCAGTATTAGACTGTCGAGGGTTGTCTGTTTCTGAATATTTGCTGCTTATACTGTTACCCATGTGCATTGGCGTGGCCTTGTCATTCCACTTAGAATTCAGTCAAGTCTTTCAAATATAAAATGGAGAAGTAAATTGCATTTTTTCTGTTGACTTCAATACATCTCTACAAATTTTTTAGCATCCAAGCTGCTAAGATTCAGTCAACATTTGGTTTGTAATATAAGTTATTTTGGTACGGTTCTGAAAGATTGATATGTGATCTTGATAATTTTTTTTGTAATGTAAACAAGGGAAGAACATAACAGAAGTTCTGTATCTCAGATAACTAAAAGTACTTTTTTTAAAAAATTTTTTTTTAAAATATAGGATAACTGTTGTCCTTGCTGGTGAAGCATTAGGAAAGTGATGTGTTATTTTACTGCTTCACTAAAATAACTTTTGCATATGGTAGAAAAACAGTTGGTATCCTTACTTCCCCCCCTCTTAACTAGTGAACTAGCCTAAAGCTAAGGGACTGTGTCAGCCTGAAAATCGCCAACAAAAAAAGCTGTATGTTGTCAAAGTAACTTGCTGGGTTTGTTAGTTTTCAGAGTTGGCAGTGGATCACTGTCAGAAAAGGAGACGTCTTAGGTAGAGTTAGTAATAAAGCAAACGGTGATTTTATTGTGAAACAATCTTGTTGCATAAACGTGTGTGCCAAAATATCATCATTTTAAAAGTTCAGATAATTTAACATACTGTATCAGCTTTCCTTAAGGAGTTATCCTGCAAGTATATGTATATATCTAAATATTTTCTTTATTCCATCTTTCATCTCCCTTCCTTTGTTTCTAGCTTGCCTTGGTGACCTGGAGAGACTGCTTATTCAGGCCATTAAATAAGCAGGTATATATATATGTATGTTATAACTATAGTGTTATTTGATAGGGTTAGTTTTATATATTGTTAGTAACTCCTTCAAGGAGATTTTGCAGGATGGGAGGGGGGACGGACCCAGAAAATAAAAGGAAGCCTTCTGCTTCTCCTTTTATGATGTTAAGAATATAACTATTTTGGGGGAACGGGCCTTTCTCTGTGTGTGGGGTTGAACCTTGATACCAAGACTGTTCTGTTATCTCTTTGCTGAGAGGACCCTTGCAGTTTGTGGTTTGTTGGGTTTTTTTTTAAAAAAAAACCACTAAGGGGGCTCATTGTAAATGAAGTAACAAATTCAGCTGATTCGAAGCCAGGCAGGAATACAGGCTGACAGTCATGTCTTAAGGTTTGAGAACCAAAATTGTGGGAGAACAGAGAGTCACAGGCCTGGGATTTTGGTGTCTTCTACTGTTGCTGTGAATCTTTAAATTTACACTGATGCCTGGGAGATTCAGGTCAACCAAATATTTTTAATTAGTGAGTCAGCACAATGTGAAACAAGACATTTCATCACTACAAAATATTATATTTATGTATGTTGATTTAATTCTTATTTACTAGTACTTACTGCAAAACTTTCTTGTATTTCGGATATAAAACAAACAGAAGTTTGGTTTAAAAGGTGCTTTTTGAAATTAAAAAAAAAAAGACTAAACACTTTCATATCCTTCCACACCTCACCACTAATCGGACTGTAATTATGTTTTAGAACTTAAAGGTGTAGCATACTCTGTGATGTCTGTAGGAATTTTATATGTTCGGATGTCCTTAAATTTTGTTCTCAAGGAGCTTAACTTGTCTTGACCTACCAGCTGCTTTTCTGTATTTGTCTTACTTTTAATCCCTCTTTTCTAAGGTAACAAATGCTGTGTTGAAATTGATTGAAAAGGAAAGAAATGGTGAAACTATCAATACAAGGCTGATCAGTGGAGTTGTACAATCTTACGGTAAATGAGATCTCTTTAAGGTTTTATTACTCTCTTAAAAATAAATAAATATATGTCTCTGTCAGAGCCCAGAAGTAGCATCCCACCTCCTTGGATGTTCAGTAAAGATTTTTACAGTAAAATAAACACAGTTATATATTGTTTAAATTCATGTTTGTAGAGACACTTGGCACGATTACAGTTGGTTATACAGTATTTGTAAAGCTTGAAAGTGTGACTGATAGACAAGAGTGTTTGTTGTTTACAAATCAGTTATTTAGGAGCTAAATCTAGAAGGAGGGAAGCACAGTAGTTTACAAAGAGGAATGGGATTGTTTTTTCCTATTTGCATGAAATTGAGAGTTTTGCCATGCAGATTAATGACCAGTTTCATTAATAAAAAAAAAAAAGCATATAATCTGGAACTCTGAGGGAAAAGTAAAAGTGGAAGGGGATTTTGAACTAGCTTTTGAGATAGTGAAGGTTTCCAATCCTATCGTCCGTTTAATAAGGTAACAAAAAGTGCAGTTTACGTGAGTAATGTCGTGTGCTGTTTATTTTTTAAATGCAGAATAAATGTCTATTTGTAAAAGTTTTAAGACATGGTGCTGATACTGTCCCAATTGATTACCTTCATGTAAGTTAGAAGGAGGGTATCTGTTTATTTGCAAGAGGCCACTTCATAAAAGACAATTTTGTCATTGCTTGCTCTTTTTTTTTTTTTAATTATTTTTGTAGTGGAGCTGGGGCTGAATGAAGATGATGCATTTGCAAAAGGACCTACACTAACTGTCTATAAAGAATCCTTTGAATCTCAGTTTCTTGCTGACACAGAGAGATTTTATACACGAGAAAGTACTGAATTCTTGCAACAGAACCCAGTCACAGAGTATATGAAGAAGGTAAGTTATTTAATAAGCTGTGTGATTATTTCTGGATAGAGATATTTTTTAGAAGTACAGTAATATTAATCTTGGGCTTTTATTGTCAGTTTCTTGAAATGCTGATTATTTTACAGAAACAATTAGCTCTTTTTCCTTGTGGTGACTTGCTTCTATGTTTATCTGGTCTGAAGTTTGTCTCCTTACTGTATTTCAGTAAGTGCAATGAAAGTTTGAAACTTTCTTAATGGGCAAAATGGGAGAGAATGTTAAAATAAATTCGGATTTTGTTAGACTTCAAAACACCAAAATAGTCATTCTGCTTTAGACCTACAAGTTTACTGTTCTTATACAAGGAACTGTTGGCACATTTATTGAAATCTCTTCCTGAGCAAGCTGGCCAAGGAAGTAGGTCGTTAACTAGCTTTAATTCTCTCAGAATATTTTAATGTAATGACCCCTACACAATACTTTTGATCAACAGAGGCCAGATTTAAATTCTTAGATAGTCTCTGGTTTGGGGAATCCCAGAAAAGGCAATTAAGAGCAAGCTGGATAAACACTGACTATTTCTAGCCTGGTTATTGGGTCAGTCTTACTGAATGTGAAATAGATAGGTCATCTTCTGTTTTGGACAAGTGCTGCTTTATATATATTTCTCAGCATGTTTCCTTGCTTTCTGAATTGCTGCTTTTTTTTTCCCTTTCAGTTTAATTAAAAAGAAAAGAGCTTTTTGAGTATGTAATACGCAGATACTGCAGGGAGGGATGTGTATCTTTGTGGTTCTTTTGTGTAACTCTCTGCCACAGAACACATCCTGTCTGAGTCTTGGCATTGAAGTCAATGATTTACCTCAAAAAAAGGGGACAGGGCAGACAAGACTTAGAAATAACACAGTAAAACGAATCCTGCTTGTAGTGAATTGGGATGATTGCCCAGTAGTTTCCAGACCTACCTATGTTTCCTTTTGTTGTTGCTGAATTCATTATTTTTGCTACTTCCCTTTCAATTTCTTGTCTTTAGTTTCGTCCTAAAATATATATATAAAACAGAGAAAGGGAATTTCAGTCATTCACAACCTGAATGACTGGCTCATCCAGGCTTCCTTGGTACAGGACAGTGAAAAGCTATCTGAAGGTCATTGCTATTTCAAGAACTGGAGATTAGTGGCAAGTAGAAGGAACTTATTAGTACCCCAAACAATCTTCAAGACTTCAAAAATCCACAAAAGAGCAACTGGCTTTGCTTGAAGCTGATCTTGAAGCTGAAAACACATATAAAGCTAGCAGAAGGCAGGGGAAATCTTCAGCAAGAAAGCATGTAGCCTTAAGTCTCTGCTTAGATTAATATACTAGAGATGTCTACAAGCTATTTGGGCTGGCTTGGCATCTCCTTACAGATAATGGACACACATTGAAATCAAACTGAACAAGAAACTGTTTTCGTTACTTGTTTCCTGGGATTTAACTGACGAAACTGAAAAAGATGTGTATTCGACTCTACAGTAAATATGATCAGAGCTTGCAGAATGATACAAATTGAGGGATACGACTTAACGGAAAGGGGAAACTTGTGGATTGAAGCTAAAAGCTAGCTCATTGGAACAAATTATCTGGTCCCTTATCGGCATGCTCTGCTGAAGAGATCAAGAGAGGTCGTGCAAGTTTTCAGAACTATTAATTTAAAATTCAGATGGGTTTGTCCTTCAGTTTTCTCTTAATTCATTATGCATAAAGAATTTTTAACATTTTTTTCTTTGAACATGCCAAGGCAGTTTTGTAAACTTCTTAATTTTTTTTTTTCCTTTTGGGTGTTGTAATCTTGCATGCCACCTAAAATACCTGGAACAGAGTAGTACTCCGCATAATTATTACTCAGGTATCGCTAGAATTAGGGTCCTTTTCTGTTCTGAAACCCCTTGAATAAGATTGATGTGAAAAGCTGCAAACTGTCCAGCAGTCACACAACATACTAGCGGTAAGAAGGTCTTAAGAGTCATCTGTTGGAACTATGAACTACGGACGAAGTAATCTGCTATTAGTACACTTACTTGACTTTCTCACTGAAGCACTGTGCATTGGATTCTAATTGGGGATAAAGAGCATTGCAAAATAAAACCGAAAAGAAACCTGTTGGGAGTACCTTGGTGCACACCAGCATAACATCAGTGTTACCATGATATAGTAGAACTGTGGTTGTTTCTTGTAAAATACTCAATGAAATCTTAATTAGGATTAGGATATGTGCGTGTAGTTATACAGGCAGACTTACTGAGTTTAGAAGGATTCTGAATTTTTCTTCTCAGGCCAGACCTCATGAGTAAAGCTGGCATGGCCTGATGTGCTGTAGGGAAAAAGGTCAGTATTTCTTAAGAAATAAAATAAAGTCTCAAACTGAACTTTCGATCTTTGTAGTTAAAACGGCTGAAGATACTGTTGTGTGAATTAATTATTTTTCCCCTGTTTCTGAAATATGACTTAGGAAAATGGCATTTTAAGAACACAAGAAGTGAGAGAGTATAAGCAAATTTGAAGTCAGAATGAATGTTTATTTTCATAAAGGAGCTCAAAGTGAGAGTTGACTGTTAACATTAAAAGTGAAGGTCTAAGGATACCTTAAGAAGGAGCATTAGAAGTGGCAGAATTTCCTGAACTACAGAAATTCAGAATTGGTTAAACGTAAGATAAGTAGTCCTACTAGTCTGATTCCAGTTTCCAGTGTTCATCAGAAAGATTTGCTGCGATTTGCTGTCATTGAGAAAGACAATTGTTATTCGTTACTGGTAAGAAACTGGCAAGTACTCTGAAGCACGAGCTTATATGCCTTCACAGACAGATGATTTTGTTTCCCATATTTTGACCTGTACTGGTTTAACTCTAGGAGACAGTAATCCAGGACCATTTCACAAGAGCTAAGTGCAAAATTATTACGTAAATGAGTGGCAGAGATTATTTAAAACCGTCTGTGTATGATGCAGCGTACTTGCAGTGAAATTGTTCTTTTTTGTTGTTGTTGTCCATAATACGATCTTTCGTGCTTAGCTAATATTCTGAAATACTAGGAAAATGCATTAACTTGATTTCCTTCTCTTGGTGACGTTATTAATGTAAATAATTTGAACCGATAAGGGGACGTATGCACTTTATCCCTAATAATGTGCTGTAATTACAGATGGCTTGTAAAGCAAGTCTTTAACACTTTTGCAAACAAAGTAGAGGTAATTGTTATATAAACAATTCAGTTTTACATTTTGGTGTAAGGTACTGTTCCTTGAATGACATCTAGAATTTTGGTTTGCTGGAAAGATATGCATATGTAGCATTTCATATGCCAAATTAAATGCTAGTATAATTTAAATGATTGTAAATTATTGGGAAGCTTTTATGTGTAAGAATGTAGATGAGAATATTCGAATAAATTTGTCATGGGCATACTGTTAAATTCTAGTTTTCTGCCTTTTAGTTTTGTGGAGGCATGAAATATATTCATATTTGTCTTAAACAAAACTACGTCTGTAACTGGAGAGCTTGCTGATGCTAAAACTGCCGGCATCCCATGTCGGCAGCTTTCTCTTTTTCTGATGGCAGATTTCCATCTGTAAACTTCTTGTTCAGAAGCAGCGGGAAAACAATCTCCCTCTAATTCTCCTCCCCATGTAAACAGTACATAATAGTATCAACATAAACATTGATTCCATATGTATATTATGATTCCTAGAAAAGTGACCACTTAAGTAGATGGACCATAACACTAAATTAGTGAGATGTTTGATTTTTGTTGTTGTTGTTATTTTCTAGATGAATTTACTAAGTAGTCCTGTGTTTTCTGCTGTTGGATTTCTGTTCTACCTTCCATACAGGTTTCATATGTATCTCTCTGTTCTGTAGGCTGAAGCTCGCCTTCTTGAGGAACAGCGTAGAGTTCAGGTATATCTCCATGAGAGCACACAAGATGAGTTAGCACGAAAATGTGAGCAAGTACTTATTGAAAAACACCTGGAGATATTTCATACAGAGTTTCAGAATTTGTTGGATGCTGACAAAAATGAAGGTAAGAGTCAAACATCGGTTTTAGGCTTCGAGTTCCTCCCTGATGATTTGTGAAATAATGTAAATTCTGGTGATAGCTAAATGTGATTTATTCAGGAATTAGGTGAAGAGAGAAAATAGACACTAAAGCAACAAGCAGCTTTTGATTAAATTGGGATGGCTGAGAATATTGCCTCAAGAAGCCTATTCTGATCCCAAATATTAAGGCAAAACAGCACTAATTTTGATTACTTTTAACGTGGCTGGAAGAGCTTCAAGAGCACTTGAGCCATCCTTCCACAGGAGCTGAAGCTTGCGTGAGAAAGATGTGAGACAAAAACCAGACCAGTAGTCTTACCAGCTGTTTCAGTTTAATCCATGGATCTTTCCATGTCAACAGTGAGAATTTTAAAATCCAAGTTGTCTAGAAGTATGCATAGGAAGTGTTAAAAGAGAAATAGAAGCAAATAAGGAGCTTCTAAAATATAGTATAGAAAATATATTAAACTGCATATAGAGCACAAGGAAAGGGTGGAAATTATTAACTGATGAGATAATTTTAGCTGTGAAAATGAGTCTTAAGTGCCACTTATGGATCAAGTTTTTACCTTCATAGAGAACACAGAGAATAAAGACTTCTTCAGCTGTTCCTCTAAAATAAGTAAAGATTATCAAAGAGTTTAGGCATCTTTAAGGAATTGTCAATTGTATTGGTTTTTATGAGTTTCTTTGGGAGTTAATGCTTAGCACAAAATAAGTCAAAACTAGGGCCAAATAATTCCTATGCACTGTGCAGATAATAAGGATGAATGGTGTTTCGGAGTTTTACAGTTGGGGAATTAATTAAATCTATGTAGGAAGTCAAAGTAAAGCTCTGTAGCTGAAATACTGCTTTTAAAAAAGTGACAGAATTTAAGAGATACTATGATTAAGTTACTGTTGATGATACTGTTCGTTTGAGAGTTGTGAACTGCAACTATGACTCTCTCTCTTACATCAACCTTAAAAGAGCAACTGTGAATAATTACTATAATCATCATGTTGATAACTAAGAGATGCTTCAAAATAGAAAAGGGCAATTTAGCATGATTAGTAGGTCAGCAGTTACCCGTTTCAAATGTCAATAGATGATTTTTATCCTGTACTAGTATTTAAGAGTCAGATGTTGTTTATGTTTGTAAATAAATGTATTTACTGCATAATTGGAAGAGATTTTGATACGGATGGGTGTTGACTAGTGGAATGACTTTATACATGTCTTCTGACAATAGAAATAGTAATAGCACAAGCAAGAAATTTTTTCTGGGCTCAGGAGGCCTTTCAGGCTTTTCTTTTTTCCCCTACTTTTTCAAGCTCATGGGTTACGTGAGCCTTTAATACAGTCACTTGCCAGAGTGATGCAGATCCATAACTTTGTTATATGGACACCATCTTGTCATATGTCTATGGTTTTACTTTCATTTGGGTTATTTCTAAGATTAATTAGGCATTTTTAAATGCCTGGGTTTTTTTCTTCTTTTTCAAAATACTTTCTTTTCTCTCAGCGGGCTTCACTTGTGCAAATTACAGTAGTTCCCTGGACCTTTTTAAGTTTCATGAAGTCTCAAGATTAGAAACATTTATTTTGAAAGATTCTTTGAGAATTCATTCTTTAATCGCTGTAATCCGTTCACTCTCAAATTTGTAATATACTAAAATAGTCTATTGTAGACTATCCTAAACTTATAATAAAATCTTGCCCTCGATTAAAATCTTTCTTGCTTTGCTCTTGAAAGTACAGTGGTTTTGAGGTCCTCCCACGTGAAGTACGTTAAGCATATCTTGTTAACAGGCCACTCCTCTTGGTATTCTGTAACTTTTTAATTGCATTGTGCAACTAGTTCTAAAGGTTGTGAGGCACATTTGTCATGGGTTACCTATTCACATCAATACGATACCTATAGGAAATAATTATCTTTATTGGGAGTAGGCTGTAATGATTTAGGTGGAGTTACCGTGTAAATCTTCCTTGAGGCTTTGTAGCATCTCTTCCGTATTTCATCAAATACAGACATCCTGATAGACCAACCTGTGAACCCTTATTTGTGGGTAGGTCTAGCAGCAGCTCACTATATCTATGCATGGCATTATTTTCCTAAATTCTGTAGGTAAAAAAGCCAGCATTCTTACGTTTTTAAAGAAGTGTAACATTAGGTTGCAAATGTGGTTTTCAGAGAGAAAAAAATGTTTGCTTTTCAAATCCAAGAGTTTAGGCTTGCCAAAATTCTAAGGAATGGAAAGGCATTATACGGAAACGGGTCTGAATAGAGGTGTCATCGCTTAGGTATTAAAGGCCTCAAGTTCTGTGTGTTGTATTTCAGAGTTAGGTAGCGATACAGCTGCTTGATTGCCCTGTTTTATTTAATCTAATAATTCTCAGGTGGTAATAAATTGCTCATAAGCCCTTCAGAGAAGTCCTTACACTTTAGAAGAGCTAGATGCAGCTGACAACCTTGAGATGGATTCAACAAGGTGAAATATCCTCATTAGTTTACAGGAACTAATTTGGTGGTTTAGTGTTTCACTGGAGTTGCCTGTTCAGTGAGGACAAGGTTACAAGATGTTACAAGACCAGTGGGTTTGTGTACTTGGTTTATGGCCATACTAAAGTTTGCTTTTTTCCTCCAAAACGCCCCCCCGACACACCCCCTACCAAAAAAAAAAAAGAAAGGAGTTCTGCACTCAGTCAAAAGCATCTGCCCTGTTGAAAATGAGTAATAAAACCAAAACAGTCTTTGATATTAGACTTTCCAAAATTATTAATAGATTTTGGAAAGTCTTGCCTGAAAACAGGTGAGATTTTCATATGAAGCTTTAACGTATGTGAAATGACATCCGATTTGTTTTTAACTTTGTTAGTTTTGTTCTGTTGGAATGCTTTTCAGAACCTTTCCTTTCCTTGAGATACATTTATTTCTACTGGTATTCAGTTGCTTAAACTTTTTTTTTTTTTTTTAAAGGTGGCTTTATTGACAGTGCTGTATTAGAGAAAATTACTTATAGTGTTTCAGTTTATCTGCTAAGGTCATATCAATACATTATATGTTGCCTTAAATTTCCAACTGTTACCACTGATGCTGCCCCAAGTAGAAGCGTTAATATACAAAAGGCTACAGCTGGTGTTAGATCTCTGAGAATTGTCCTGTGCAAAAGAAGATTTAAAGGCCAGTGGTCGGCTGGAGAACATTGTACTCTTAGCATGGCCAGCAGTAACACTGATGACAGTCCTAATTCATGGTAACACTTCAAAACTGCATCTAAGTAAGAGGGGTTTAACTCCATTTTTAAACTATTGCACCTCTTTACATTTTTGAAAACTAGAAATCAGAAGTAAATATATTTCTATAATTTCGTTGTTTTTTTTTTCTTCTTGAGATTTATCTAGCATTGCGAAGGTAAAACATCTTAATATTTAACGGGTTGTTTTCTCTTGAACTAGTCTTAGCTTTCAAGGTTAGTGCAAAGATTTGCTGTACTGTATAATCTTTTGCTCTAGTTTTTTCTGGCTTTTTACAGGAGCAGTTGCACGTGTGTTTTTGTTGATGATGGATGTTTAACTCCTATTGGCAACTTGTAAATGAGAAATTAGGAGTCATAGCTAATGCAAATGGGAGATGTTGGCTTTCCTTTTTTCTTTTTTGTTTTCTTTGGTTTGTTTTTGTTTTTCAGACTTGGGACGCATGTATAACCTTGTATCCCGAATCCAGGATGGCCTTGGAGAACTGAAAAAACTTTTGGAAACCCACATTCATAATCAGGGTCTAGCTGCAATTGAGAAATGTGGAGAAGCTGCTCTAAATGCAAGTATCACATCAAAATAAGTCTGTGTATGGTTGCTGCCAGCTGTACATTAGAGGAGGATGAATGCTTCTTGATTTAATTTCCAGTTTACTTATCTTTTCCCTCTCGCTAATTTAATTTGTGAGGACTAGGCAATTCTCAAATGTTGACAGTAGGCTTAAAACAACCGTCACATCACTGTGTTACTACTCTTTGAGCTTTGGGGGTGTTTTTTGGGTTTTTGGTTTGGTTTAGTTTTTTGTTTGGGTTTTTTTTTCCCTGCTGAGTTTTTGCTCTCAGCAGGATGTCGTGCTGCTTGGAAAGCTGGCTGTGCAAATTCAACATCCTACGCTTACAAATACACCTGAAAGTCCACTGTTTCTAGAAGCATTATCTCCAGTGGAGTGTATTTTCTTTCATCATCTTACAGACTTCTAACTTGGATGGGACTGTGTGGAGAAAGTTTGTGTTGGTTTTAGTGTTTTGGGGAATAGCTTTATTCTGTTTGGAAAAGCATGAGAAATGTAGGAGGAGGGGATAACTAAAATAGTTGGAGAAGTCACAATGTAAGAGCAGGTCAGGTCTTCTGCAACACTGTGGTTTTTTAGCCATATAATTGGCTTTCTTGATTTTATCCCATAATTGTAATTTTAGACTTAATTTTGTATTGATGAGGGTTGAATCTCAGCAACACAAAGTTTAAACCTTTTGCTAACCTTTTTGTCTATAGACAATATAACATTTTCTAGGAAAAAACCAACCAAACAAAAAACAATAAACCAAAAATGAAACATTGCACAAGGAAAATTAGGATAGAATATAGATTCTGGTAAATTTTCTTTAAAATGGGGTTTGACTTTGATTTTTGACAAAGTTCATTTTAACCCGTTATTGGCCTCATATTCTTCAAATAGCTTTGTACTACTAATGGCTAAAGCAGTAATCTCTAGTGACTGCAGTAACAGGAGAACAGTAAAAACTTTAGTTTTTAGCACAGATTAAAATGTTTTACCTGTGTGTAGTGTCTGTTGTTCACGTCTATAGTTTTAAGCACGTAGCGCTTTGGCAGTGTTGATCTTTTATGAATCATGAAGTAAGTTCAGGAATCTTCAGCTTCATTTGTAGACGTCAGCTTAAATTTTGAAATCGGGTATGCTCCATGGTTGACACATCCCCGTAGCGATCATCACTTTTGAGTTTCTTTGTATTTTGGCCTTGAAGAATTTCCCAGAAAAATGAAAGCTCTTGCTGCGGGAATTAGTTCATCTTTGAGAGATGGGAAGCCTGAGGATTTGTATGTATTGGTTCTTTCGACTCCAGCCGTTTACGAAACTCTTCCTGATCCTGACGGTTTTTCTTGTTTCTTCATCTTTCTCTTTTATTCCTTTTCTTTTTCCACACATTTGTTCTTCGTTTTCATAACAGTATCTCTGGCTGTCTCCCTTGGGAACCATCTTGCCTCTTCTTCCAGCATCCTTCACACCACTGTATCACTGTTCATCATTGCCTCATTAGCCCTCTGTCACACTTAGGTAGGTTTGGTTCTGCCTAACTTCGTTTAGCTGTACTATGTCTAAACAGATAATCAGCTGAGCAAACGCTGCTCACTTTCCCTGTAGTCAGTGCAGAGAAATGGTCATAGCAGCTTGACTCATCTGACCTATTTTAGATTTTTTTTATTTTTTTTTTTACTGCAGAATACGTTGTGCTCTAGGCTCCGTTAACTATATTGACGAGACTGCTCTTCAGTCAGAAGATTACTGCTGTTTGTGCCTTTGGCTGGTTCTTTTGGAGTCCTTATAATCAGTAGACACCTTTCTGAATGTCCTTCAGGTCCACTTGAATTTCTTGTCTGTGAGGTTCTCAGTAATCTCAGTTCTGTCTCAAGCATGGCATTAGATGAGTGGTCCATGTAGTCTACGTCTGTCTTTGGTGGCAATAAGAAATGTTTTTCAGGATTCTGATGCAGCCCTACCCGTCCTTTACCATTTGTTGCCAGCACGCAGAACTCAGGGCAGGAGTGTTACAGGAGTACCTCCTGCCCAGTCCTTTTAGTTTTTATTTATGACCCTATTGTCCGTGAGTTTGTCTGATCCATTCTTGAACCAGCTAATATTACCTGCTTCCAGCAACCTCCTGTGGCAGCAAGTTCCAGAAGTCTACTACCTTATGTGTAAAAATGTTCTTTATCCGTCTTAAACTTGTTTCCTATCGCTTTCATCAAGTGCATCAAGTACTTATAAAATGTGGCTTTTGGTGATCGTTCATCTTTTCAGTCATCCTGCTGGTTTTGTAAACCTTGGTGCTATGCCTTTTCAAACTTCTGATCTCTAAATCGAAGACTTGTAGCCTTTTTAATCTGTTGTATAGAAGCTGCCATGTCTGCCTGGTGTTTTAGTTGGGCTTCGCTGTTCGTACTCTGACTCCGCTCCATCTTTTTTGGATGCAGAAATCAGTAATTGCACAGAGGACTCAGTCTGCGAGTGCCATAAACTTGGTGTTTATTGGCATTTGGCAATTTCAGTTTTTAAGAACTGCCAATAGTGACTGAGGTCTCTGTACTAAGTTGTACATACTGGGGATACACCAGTTACATTCTTACTTCAGAGATTTACTTTGAGGGTTTCTTCTATAGCAACCGCCATTTATGATTGTCCAGCTCTCTCACGTCTGATTCAAATTAAGCTTATGTCTTTGAAAATGTCCTTGAAAATATTTGCAATGGTTAAGTAAGTAGTTTTGTCTTTTTTGTAGTGTATAATGTGACACACTGCACTCTAGTTGCTGTAAATGAAAACTTGTGCTAGTGTAGGTCAGTCCTGGACATAGGACTAGACTAGTCTGGATATTATTTTACCTTTAAAATATTTCTAATACTTTGTAGACTTTCCCCATAAAAATTTGCTTAGGCCGGTGAGTAGCTCCATTTTTGGAGGAAGTAGAGAGCAGAAAGTCAACGCGTTGCAAAAAACATTCTCTCTTTATTGCAGGATCCAAAAATGTACGTACAGACAGTGTTGGATGTCCATAAGAAATACAATGCTTTAGTCATGTCTGCATTCAACAATGATGCTGGCTTTGTGGCTGCACTAGACAAAGTAAGTGTATGTAGTGGCACACGGTGAACATTTTTTTTTTTCTTCTATTCAGTGTTTTGTCTTCCAAAATTTCACTGTCTTTTGTGATTTGTAGGCTTGTGGTCGATTTATAAATAATAATGCAGTGACAAAAATGGCTCAATCATCCAGTAAATCCCCAGAGCTACTGGCACGATACTGTGACTCTTTACTAAAGAAAAGGTACGTCTTCAAAGACAAATTATTATTTTAGGTTGGCTTTTGTTTTAAAAAGGTTTTAGCATATGAAGTTCTATATTGTGTCTTCAGAAACAGAACTTAACTTTTCAAGAAAAATTAATTATACCAAATTCTGAATATAAAAATTTCAATAGGACTGTTCCTAAAGATTGTATGGAGTTTACTTTTCTTTTTTAAAGAAAAGGGGGGAAGTAATAAAAGATCTAAGACCTTTCTTTCCTTGTACGAAACTAAGTTCTAGTTTTTTAATAAAACAGAAGTTGTTTTTCAGTTTGTCTTATTTTTTTGTTCCTTCCCAAAATTTGAGTTGTGCTATATGTTGTAAAGAAGAGATGCACATTCCCTTTTTCCATTAAAACTCTTGCTTTCCTCCTGTTGTTTTCTCTATGTCTTCTTCCATCTGGGTGGAAATTGAGGAGGACAAAAACTGCTTTCTAACCTCTCGTGGTTCGTAGTTTAATTAAGGCATTTGGCTTCAAGTGATTCAGCAGCTCATACCTTGAGTTGGTATCAGTTCAGTTTGTACTGGATTGGTGTCAGTTTTGTCACTGGTAACTTTACTGGCCATTTTGGGGGAGGGAAAAAAACCACCACCAAACAACCCAGAACCAGAAGAACTTGCTCATTTTTCCCTTCCCCATCCCCTCCTTCCTTCAGCAAAGGATTTATTTGTCCCTGTATAAATAGTTGCGTTCTGCAGGGTAGATTTGGGGTATACCTGATGGACAAGCATCATATGGAGGAAAACAATGTGATGCTAGCTGAGCTCTCACCCAGTCAAGACCCAGCTCTCTCAGCTGTTTTCTTTTCACTGTACTATCTAAGATAAGAAATGAAGATAGCATTTAGCAGCAGAAGAAAGGCAGGAAGAGAGAGATCCATGTTTAAGCCCATAAATCCTGAGAAGTATCCGGCTATCAGGAAGTCCCGAGCAGTTTATGGTCCAGGACTTCAACCTATTGTTTAAAAATCGTGTACTTCAGACTTGCTCACATGTGGACTAGTGAAGAGAAGTGTTCATTTCATTACACCACGTCCTCTCTAAAGAGTCTTTGATCCCAGAACTACTCAATCTGTGTTCCTTTATTTATGAAATTTCCGTATACATCCATATGTTGGTTTATTTCAGCAGTTTCGGGACTCATTAAAAATGCACTTCTTTAATTGCAGCTCAAAGAATCCAGAAGAAGCAGAGTTGGAAGACACACTCAATCAAGTGGTAAGATGTCTATGGTCTATGAATACAGTTCTCTTCTGTGTAAGCTTTGACAAGTTAGTAATATTCGATTGTCACACAAGTTAGATGAGAGAAGACCTTTCTTTTGTGTGTTTGATTTCATTACTTAATATTTCAGCTTTTCAGTAATAGTCTTCATCTCTATGTGGCTTGTTGGTTGTAATTTTTTTTTAATAAAAAAACCTTTTTTATTCAAAAAAAAGCCCTTTACAGCAGATTTAAAGTGGCTAAATGGAATTTATGCTTTTACTTCATTTTTATATAGACATGTAACATATAATTTCTACAATATGTTTTTACATAATTACATATATGCACTACATTTTTATAAATATATAAGGTTGTACATGTGGAATAGACAGTTAATGTGTTTAAAATAGTATCCACATCTAAAACAAAACACCACCACTTCCCCCCCCCCCCCCCAAAAAAAAAACACAAACCAACCCAAAACAAACAAAACCCCCTGCCCTTAAAAATTTAAGTGTAAATGAAGTAGCTACTGCAAAAACTTTTTCAAGACAAACGCATAATTTTTTTTTTTTTTCCTTACAAATTATCTTGGCTTTTTCAGATGGTTGTCTTCAAGTACATTGAGGATAAAGATGTATTTCAAAAATTCTATGCTAAAATGCTGGCAAAAAGACTGGTACATCAGAACAGTGCTAGTGATGATGCTGAGGCAAGCATGATCTCCAAACTAAAAGTGAGTATTCCATGCCTGTCCTGTGATCTACCGTATCGCAGGTCTTCAGGCTGCCCTGGAAAGCATTGATGTATGTCCTTTCGTTTCATTGTTTTATGTACAATAGAAAAATACACAACCTAGGCTTTTTCGGTTTTTTCTTTCCTTTTTTTTTTTTTGTAACCTCCTAGGAGCTTGTAGTGCATGTCTGATGGGAGTTCAGCTGGAGTTAAGCTTAATTATTCTTATCTAAATAAATGACAAAGATATAATTATCCAAGGGAATGACTGCTGAAAAGTTGCTTAATTTCATTAACCCTTGTTCATTCAGGGTCAAGCAAAATACAATCTAATATTCTTTTAGTAGTATGTTTGATTGTGTGCTTTGCTTCAGTTTTAAACAAAATTTTCTTCAGTTTTTAATGACAGTTAAAGAGCACGTCTGGTTGGGATCAGTACTTTGAGTAAGGGAAATACTAAAATTTGTACATCTTCTTTTAAGAAAATAGGCTCCGATACTTTGTTCTTCTCATTCTCCGATGTCAAAAATGTGTCTTGCTGACCTATCTGTGCTTTTAAAATACAGCAAGCTTGTGGTTTTGAGTATACCTCCAAGCTGCAGCGGATGTTCCAAGATATTGGTGTAAGCAAGGACTTGAATGAGCAATTTAAAAAGCACCTGACCAATTCAGAACCATTAGATTGTAAGTAATACATTTACCTAAGTTACTGTTGAGTAGTTTAGCTTCCTCTTATTTTTGCAGAGCTAACTTTGAGGGAAAGATTTGATTTAGACATCATACCCCCAGAAGTTTGAGTTAGTATTATTTTGACCAAGATAGCTAAGATTTTTAAATTAGTCTTTTAGGTCTGTACTTTGTCTTCTACTAGCACTTTATATCTTTTGTAATGGGTAGCCTCCTCCTGATTTTGCAACTCATGTTAGGTATGTAAATTAAGTTGAATCCTGTCCTTCTCAATTGGAAAGATGTTTTTCTTTAAACAGTTTTGATTTTTGAGCACAGCATGGCTTAAGCTCATACTTGTGTTAAAAGTATTAAAGAAAAAAGGATGTTGTGGTTTAGGTTGTTAGACAGCCCCATCACTTTTTTAATAAAGAAATATGTTCTTCATTAAAGAATTTGTTTCAGGGTGCTTCAAAGAGAGTTGATAATCATTTGGTGGATTACATTTAGAGTTATGTATTGTCAGGCTTAAATTTTACTTAGTTTTTGTATTATCCTTACTGGCTTGCCCATAATGCTTTACAAGTATAAATGTGAAATGTTTATTCTTGCGGTTGTGTACTGTGAAGTTACACGTTTTAGTTATGTGTAAAAATGAACACTTATGATTTTTACACTTGCATGTAAAAAGAGAAATCTGCTGTGGGCTAGAAACAGGGTAGTAACTTCTACAAATGAGAGAAAATTGAGTGACTGTCACAGTAAATCTAAAGATCTCCACCTGCAGCGACATCTTACATGAATTCCTTTGTCTTATGGTCTGAATCAAAATAATATAGATATTGCTTAATGATTTTTTTCACCGTGTTAGTTGGAGCAAAAGGCAGAACCGTTGCTTTTTTGTGTTAGAACTGGGACTGCGTCTTTGAAGAGGGGGTGGGAGCCGGGGGGATAACGCAGCTCAGTCTCTCCACCTCTCTTCCAGTGGATTTCAGCATCCAGGTGCTGAGTTCTGGGTCGTGGCCGTTCCAGCAGTCCTGCACGTTTGCTCTACCGTCTGAGGTGAGGGGCTTACGCTTGGATCATCCCAACGGGGAATGGTCATGCGATAAAGTTGTTTTACAAGGTTGGGGTCTCCTTGTCTTTCGTTGTGTATCAGAGAGGACTGGAGGTGTCTCTGGTGTTGGCCTATTTGACTGAAGGATATTCGGAACAAGAAAAGTGAGTAAGGTAGTAGGAGGAAACTGTGAAATTATATATATAACTGTTTTCTCCTATGGAAAGAACCTGGTTAATGAATATCTCTTCAAAACATCCAACAATAACTGAAGCACGTCTTTGTTAGTGTATTTTTCTATGTATACCTTTATTTAAGAAACTTTTTCTTGCCGTTGCTTCGGCTCTGTCCAGTAAAGTCTTTAGATATTATAATCATTAGTTTTCTGTTGAGTCCTTATTCAGAATAGACAAGACAGGAATACTTAATGTGAGAAATAAGTTTTAACTGCTGTTACCTGGACGTGGTTAAAAGAAATCGCCTTTCTAGCCTTGCTTAATGTGTCATAAAAGGAAGAATGGAACTTAAATGCTTGTTTAGGTTTGTGTTGTTAATGACACTTTAAAGGGAAAACTCATCACAAAGGCTAATTTGCATCCAGTCTGAAGAATATGAATGCTTGAATTTACCAGTGAATTGTAAATTCTGAATTTGAATTTCTGTTTACTTGGCAGTCGGGTGATGAGATTTGATTCTCCTTTGTTGGTTCCAGAGCATGTTCTAGTAAGGGTAAATGAAGGTCAATAATATCCTTTTATTTATTTTTTATTGTTGTTTTTATACAGTTAGAACGGAGCTATCAGAGATTTACTGCATTTTATGCCAGTCGTCATAGTGGAAGAAAATTAACATGGTTGTATCAGCTGTCCAAAGGGGAATTGGTTACCAACTGTTTCAAAAATAGATACACGTTACAGGTAAGGATAACGTCATGCCTACAGAAACACTTGGTGATGCTTGCATCCGGAGGGTTGGATGCAGCTGATCATTTAAAAGACATGCGGTCACGTGCTGCTCTTCTGTTACCTGGATGAGCTGCGCAGCCTCTTTACTCCTCATGGAGAGATAATTGCCTTTCCTTACTTTAAAGGACCGTTGTGCAGAGAAATGGGTTTAAAATGGTGAAGTGTGTAGATGCTGAAGTAGTGGAGTTCGTGTGAATACCTGTGCCCACATGTAAACTCATTTTAATAGATAATACAGTGAATTGAGCTGTATTTTATCTGTATATCAAAATATTCATTAACAGTATATAATCATGTATCACAATTAAATATTTTAAATCATTCCGTTCCTCAATTGGGGGGGGGGGGGTACGTGCATATGTATGGGGGGGGGGTGTACGTGCATATGTATACACACACGTGTATGTTTAGCTACTATTTATGATGCTCATATGTATTCATTAGCTTTATTCCTGTGAATAACGCTGCTGTCTTTATTTAAAGCAAAGCACAGATGCAGGACCTGATGGCTACGGATCTGTGTACTACTGAAGTGAACATAAATGTTAGCCCTCCCCAGATGGTTTTTGGTGTTGTGATTAATAGAACCTTTATTATATGTTTGATTTATTTACTGTACTGATACTTAAGATCTATGTTGAAAAGAAAATTGACTTTGAAAAGGGAATAGATTACTTGTGGTTTAAACTGGTGTTGAACTGCCTTGTGTGAGACGACTGCAGCCTCTTTGCGTAAGATCTCACGCGTCTTGCACTTTCCTGCTCTCTCTCAAAAAGTAGAGGAGGGGAGTTCACAACAGTGAGAAGAAACAAGATAATCTCAGATTTTGAATTTGTCAACGTATGTTAACCCTGTGGTGACAGACGTAAAAAAACCACTGATAGCTGCCTCGTTTATAAATTTGGGTTCATTATTCTGCTGGAGTTGGGAGAGTTGTGAGGATGAATTCAGTAGTCTCTGTAGGTTTTAACGAAGATGAAATGAGTAAGAGTCAGGGAGTGACAGAGGAAGAGAATTTAAAATTGTACTAGGAAGTAGAAAGGTAAGGCTTTGACACCATAATAGAAGATTTGATGAAGTGTCTGCAGCTAGTTAAATGGTCATTATCTTAGGGTTTATGTTTAGATAATGCTGGAAGGTGGAGTTCTGGTTGTATGAGTGACACCAGATGTTTGTGTATTGTGTAAGGATTAGCACTGGTTGGCTATTCTCTGTTGTCCAAATATTCCAGTATATGTGTTTAAGCAATGAATTTCAGGCTGTTCAAATTCAGAAAGTATATTTGTTCATTCTTGTTTTCTGATTTCCCCTCTCTCCCCTTTGTTCTCTTTTTCTGGATCTGTTAGGCGTCCACATTCCAGATGGCGATTTTACTGCAGTACAACACAGAAGATGCCTACACCGTGCAGCAGCTGACAGACAGTACTCAAATAAAAATGGTAGTGACTTTGCACGTTTTACCACACTCTTGTTCACAAGTCTTTTGGCCTTCAGGGCTCTTCCTGGTGTCGTAAGACATTGGGATTAGACATGCTTGAAGGCAGAGTCGGTTTCTGACGTGAAGGAGACAGATGTGCTCTGTTCTCCATCAACTTGCTTTTCTGGTTTATTTTGCTGTAATCGTAACTAGTCTTCTGGTGAATTAAGTGTGTAGATGCTCCTGTTCATGACTGCAGTGAATTGTCTAGCTTCCTGCCAAGCTCCGGTAGTAAGTTTTCAGTGTTTCACTACGTACATTTTAATATTAAGAGACAACATTCTAGGAAAAACGGCATTTTCCCTAAATGATCGATCTGCCCATCTGTTCCCCTTTACATCTCCAGGCTTATATACGGAATGTAGTAAAATCTGCAGTTTCACGGGCTCACTCTTATGGAAAAGGTTCCTTCCTTTTCTTTCCAGGTGGACTTTATGGCCTACAGTTTATTTGGCATCTGTGTCCTTTTGAATCAAGTCTGCTCGGACTTTGGGAAAGTTAGGCAGTTCCTAGTCAGTGAGATCGTTACTTTTAGAAATGCCTATCTTGAAAGTTGCTGCTGCTGGATTACAGCAAACCCAGGAGTCTTATGGGGTTGCCATTTATTATAGATGCTTATTTGCAGGTTATATATATTTATTTATGTAAAATAAGTATTTGGCCCAAGTTATGGGTGGACTAGAATAAAACTCTTTATACAGCTGAAAACTAACTGCATGAAACCTATAAGATTTCCACGGTGGTAAAATAGCAGCTTTGCAGACCTGCACAGAACATCGACAGTAGTGTAGCCAGCCGGGTGAGCGACCAGCGACAGGAACCAGAACAGATCCCTGGTGTAAGCAAGAAAAGAAAAATATGTTAATCCGAAAGCAGAGGGTGCTTGCTTTCTGAGGTTTGAGCTTGCCATGGTATCTATATTTGCATGGTTTGGGAAAAATGATTTCTTAAACTTAGAAATCCGCTTGCAAAATAGCTCCTAGAACAGCAACTGGAAAGATCTGTTGTTTGGAATTAGTCTTTCTCAAGAATTTGATGTCACTTGACCGACTACAAGGGGAAAATGTCCTAAGCCCAAAAAGGGTGTTACATTTTGTTTCTGTGAACTACATTTTTACTGCTGCTTTTTCACTCCTTTTGCAGTGTTCTCCACTCCTCGTTCTTAGTCTAAATACGTGTATTCTTGTTGAAGTATTTTAAGTTAGAGAAAGATGCTGTCTGTCTGCACTGATATTTTCTGTAATTTTGTAGGATATCTTGGCACAAGTTCTACAGATACTGCTGAAATCAAAATTACTTGTAAGTACTCTTGCTTTTTTATGCCCTGCTTAACATTCAGCAAAATGTATTAATGAATATTTATTTATTTGTTTATTTTCCTTATTTCTCGCAGGTTTTAGAAGATGAAAATGCAAACGTTGATGAGGTGGAGTTGAAGCCAGATACCTTAATAAAACTGTATCTTGGTTATAAAAAGTAAGGAAAAACTTCAGCAGCATACATCACTTGTGTATAATGGGTAGCATCCTCCTTCTCTGCTTTCAAAATTTGGGTAAAACCTAATTAATGTACCTGGGATGAAAGCTCCGGGGTTCAAGTTCCAATTCAAATATAGATCCAACGTGAATCCGCTTTAAAGGAGAGGGTTGGCTAGTAGGGCGACGGGTAAGATTTCAGCTGTCCGACTTTGACTTTGTCATAAAGTCTGTCAAAGCCTGGACGTAGTTTCCTATGTTCTCCGATTCTTGTCGAATTCTTGTATAATTTATTTCTGGTAGGAAATCGTGCTGGTTTTTAGCGAGGTGCATGACTTGCACGCACTCAGCAAAATACATTATATATGATAAGGTTACGGTAGTGTACAGTCACCAGCAAAGGTCAAAGTCTTAAATGTTCATCTGCTAGAGATAACATGAGAAGATCAGCAGGCTCATTTTAGAACTTCAGAGTGTTCAGTGACTGGAAAACTTAATAAACATGATTTTCAGTAGTTTTTATTACCTACTTTAACCAGTGTTGCTTTCAACATTCGTGTATTTTAAGCTGTTCTTAAGTGTACTGTGGTGACTTTTTATCATGCTTACCAGAGCATAGATGTAAACACACATAAATTCAGTGAAGAGTTCGGTACTTCCTGAAGATCAGATCTCAAGCGAAAGAAACATTTTAAAACCTTTCCTTGTACCTCACTCTTTATCTGCTTTCTTCCCTCCTTCACCAATAATTAAAGGTTTGAGAATTCACGGTCAGTTATGTTAATGCAGCGATGAAAAACGCTTAGCGTTGCTGCACCGTGCGGCTCAGTGGTTCCCAGTTTCTGACGCATGAGACTCTGCTGAGTAAGGAACAGGTCCCGTCTCCACGGCAGCATCCCCCGGCC